GCAAGGCACAACTTGATTTTTCATAAATGCAAAAAGACAAAACTTTTAATGATGTTATTTTCCTACTGCTTCCCCAAGTCCATCTGTTAGAGCTGCTAAAAACCAAGGGCCATCAATTCTTTTTTTCTATAGACTGAGCAGTGGAAAAGATACGTGGCTTCCCAGGGCCTAATTCTGCACTTTTTTATTCCCAGGGACAGCCTCTTCAGGCTTTATCAATCTGTCTGTCTTTTTCTTTTTAAGACATGCCTGGTATAAGTCATGTCTGAAATATAATTCCTTATTTCTGCTACTGTTGACAGCTTAAATTATTAAAAGGAATTTTAAAGTTCTTTTTATGTTTCTCATTTTCACATTATTATTATTTTCCTTTCTGCATTTCACTCAGTTTTGGTAGCAGAATGAGCCTTATCGGAGTCACTTTTTCCTTCTGTTCATTAAAATTAATTCTACTCTGTTCACCTTTGATGAGCAGTTGAAAGAAAAGGAAATAAAAATTCAGGTAGTAAATACTCTGAAACACTCACCAATGCAGAACTACATATACTTAAAGAAAAACTGAATTTGCATCCTAGAATTGTCAAGAAGGGCTCTTTAAGCTTGAAACAGGAGTAGATTCTTTTCAACTTTCCCAGAGAATAGCAGTGACCTTGCAGATCAAATAACCCATGATCTACAAGAGTTCAAATATGTCATCAAGACTTTATTTTACTGCTTGATGTTCCTTGGCCTAGTTGCTCCAACCAGGCTAATTGCACCACCCCCCAAAGAAAACCCACGACAGGACTGTACAACCAGAACCAATGTCAGCAAAACAGAGCTGGGTGCATGGTAGGAACAAGGATAAATGAGACACTGTGTCGAAGGCTGGATTTTTGCTGAGTGACTGTAATCTGATGGGTACAATATATTAAAACTAATGGAAACATTTGATTAAAAATACGCTAGATCTTTGTACAGAGTCTTATCACAAAGCTGTCACAGGCACACAGCCAAGTGCCTAGCTGCAGCACAAATGACCATGATAGAAATCCACAGGCCCCAGTCTTCCTCCTTCCACAGAAAACTTGCCAGGACATCTGGGGCGCTCAGACCTCCGCTGCCTGTCAGTGTTTGCACTTAGAGACCAAGATCTGCTATCACCACCTTTAAGAACACAGACATCTCTGCAAGCATCATCTCCCCAAGCCCGTGACTTCCCGGTGTACGTCCAGGAAGCCTTAACTTTCCCAAGGGGTCACCTGCTTTTCTGTCAGATCTTTTAAACAGTCTTCAATCTCCATGGGTTTATTTCAGAAAAATATCAATTGGTTTGCCAGGAGACAGCGTGGTCCTCCTGCTTGTAGCAAAACCACCACAGAAGGACTGACAGAGGTGGTGAATCTAATCTTTCTGTGTCTAGTTTCAGCAAGTCTGAGGCCACCAGTGATGCTGGTGTGCCTACAATATCTTCTGCATCCCACCGTGAAGGGTGAGCATCTCAAAACACCCTGATTCTTCTCACTTGCTTTGCAGCCGGATTGATCTCAGTGACATATTTGCTTTGCTCTTCCCCTACCCTTAGTTATTGCTAGGAGGATGTAGGAGCCCATAAGCACAAGAAATAAATGCATTCTTGTCAGCGTGAGAACTGCTCCCCTTAGTTCTTTCCCCAACAGGCTGTAGCTTGTGAAATCAAACAGGGATTGCATGTTAGTACAAAAACTGACTTCAGTGTGTCTACATTGATTTTTAGTATTAACTAAGACTTTTATTTGCACTTTTATGAGAAATAAATACTTCTCAAAGTAGTTGAGGAAGTAGCAGTTATTGTCAACAAACTGCATTTGTTTTACTCCAGCATAGGCCATTTCAGGGAAGTAAACAGGAGAAGACTAATCACTTTCAGCAACAGCTACTCTCTAGATTAGTTTAGCTTGAATGTCAAACTGTACCCTTAGGCTCCAGTTCACCAATGTATTTAAACATGTATTTAATTTTTAAGCATATGAGTAATTCTGGTGCACTTATTTAAGTTTAGGCACATGTATGAGTCTTTTCCTGACCTAGCTTCTAAATCATTCGAAATCTGGCCTCATTTCCATCAATTAAAATCATTGCACCACATCATTTGATTGCTCCAGAATTATGAAAAAATATTCTCGGTATTCCTTGAGGAAGTTTTCCTGCTTTTATACTAACACTTTGCCGAGATTCCACTTCTTCAACCAATTCCAGCCCCAGTCTGAATTCAAAGTCAAAGCTGAGATTTGATGAAATACTTTGGTTATGGACAAAATATCCTCAAACTATATATAGATTTCAAGAAGGGGAGATAAGGTGGGGGCATAGCTTTATCATGCGTTTCAGGCAAAAATCTAGCCCTTCCCCTTTTCCAGATCCTCCCTTTCCCAGCACAATATTCGGGGAAATTACCTGCACATTTCAAGACATGCTGCAATTAGCACTCACACCATGATACTCATGCATGTGACACAAGCTTGCGCCTGGCAAAGACCTCTATGTATTTTGGGTTGGAAATAAGGATTAAGGTTTATCTTGTTTTTAGTTCAGGTATTTGAAGTGTTGGATCTGTGTGCCATGCCATTTTCCAGTTGAGAATCTTCATCAGATGATCTCAGCTAACTTCACCACGTTCATCTAGACATCTTCCTAGACTAATACAATCATAACTAGGGAATCCCATAAGAGCATCCTCTGAATTTTTTAGCTGCACAAAAAATACCTTCCTGACATAGTCAAGGGAATGGAGGTTTTATAAACACTGACTAAGCCTTACCATGTTCTGAATTACTGAGGATCCTATCAACAAGCAGCAGCAGACTAAGCACTTTGATAAAGCCACATAAGTCCCAAGATGGGAATCAAGAAAAACGTATATGATAAAGGGAGATTAGAATGGAATAACATCACATTTTTGATTGTTCTTTACTTAAAAAGTAGACACCGATGCCCCTATAAACTCTAGGCTCTTCCCAGGCCAAGGTAATGTTAAGACCATAGAAAATGTCATTCTTGGGAAACAAAGCATTTCTGATGTAGCTGTTACTGAAAATTGACATTCACATTTTGACATTTTTACTTTAATCCCTCTGAAATCTGAAATGTAATATACATTCAGAAAGATGATGATTCTTTTTTTTTTTTCCCCCATGAAGAAGCATCCACAGTTTAAGGTTGTAAATCTGAGCAATTTAGAAAACCATGTAAACACAAATGAAAATTAGCCAACAAAAGAAATTCAATTGAGTTAAACAGGAGGCTATTATCATGCCTTACATTCTTTTCTGTCACTATCTGTAGCTCAGTGGGGAGCAAGCCAGGTAAGAACTAACCAGAGGGGACAAAACAGCTACTTGAGGTTGTGCACTATTCCAGACACAGCAAAAAGAATATTAAACAAATAGTATACAAAGACATAACTCTAGGGTTATGTGTTTCCCCAAAGATATGCTATTCCATATTAATTTTTAATCAAATTGACCTGCACTGCAAGGAAGTAAAAAAATACCAGTTGCCACAAGCAGATCAAATTAAGTATAAATATTTCTGAAGACCTCATTATGACTATAATCTCATCTTTCAAGGTTTTCTGTTCTTCACTTCCTTTACTGATTTATGGAAACAAGTAGACCAGATTCCCCAACGCTTGTCACCCTGCATCATTATTTATATCTTCACCAGATTCGAAATGGTAGCACTCTGGATCCACACATTTGGCACACACATAAAAGTGCACACACACACACAGCAAAAAGTGGTAGAAAATCCAAGCAATGTAAGTTTATTTGACTGTAGTCATTAGTGCTATACATTACAGGTTCAATCCTGCTCCCTTTGATGTTGATGGTAATACTCGCATTGAATTCATGTGCTCTGAAAAATGCCTGAGTTTTGCAAATTTATCATTTTGTCATCTATGCTTCAGGTCAAAATTATAATCCAGTGTTTTAGACTTATTTTGAGCCAAATGATTTTTACTAAAGGTTCAAAGAATGCATACTTGTCCTTCAGAGATGTGCCAACCCACTTTACACCCAAGGAGTAAAACAGTTGAGGTTTTCAAAACGGTCTGAGGGATGCAAACATCTTGCAGGTGACTAGAACAATCTCAGCTTCCAGGGTCTTGCTGGGGCCACGATGGTGCCCACCTGCTTAGAAAGAGTTGTGAAAGTCCTCTGCAGAACTCCAGAAACAAAGGAGACTTTCTGGGATTGTTCACGCTACTGAACTGCAGCTCTTTCAGTGCAATGTCCTAAATCCTAATAATTTACAATATCCACCGCTTTTAAGCGAAGCAGGTTTCTTTCTCTCCTCATCCTCACCTTCTCTCAGCCTCTGATGGAGAACATTGCATAGTGAGATGTGTTAAGTAGTAAGAGATAAGTTCTGGTCATCATGGTTGTTCAACCAGATGTACTCAACAGTGATATTCAAGCAGTTCTGAAACAAGGCCGACGAGCTTCACAAAAATGAGACTCGACTTCAGGTCAACAGAAAGGATGAGAGAACAGGGAAACAATTTAGGCGGGTGTCAGATGTCAACAGGACTTCAATTTTGAAAGCCTATCCCTCTGTCCAAAGAACTGGGACCTTAAAGAAGGTAAGGAGATTACGGGGGAGCCAGGTGACTGATTTACTGAAAAAATGACCCCTAGAACTGCCACTGGCTTAAACTGGAGTTAAGAAGAGCTGTCCCCAGAGGTTATTCGCACCACTTTTACTCAGAGAGTATGTCACAAAGGTGTGGCAAGCACATTTACCACTTTCAAGCAGGAGGAGAAAGAGTGGACAGGGCAGAAGTGCAGTGTGTGGCTGGATAGACTTGCTTCTGGGCTCTGGGACTGCTGGAGAACAGGTGGTGGAGACAGTGACAAAAATGTGCCAGATCTCATTTGTATTTAGACCATAGAGTCCCAGAATGAACTTCTACCATCACACCTTTTTACTGCACAGAAAAGTGCACATGGATGTGTGTCGATCTCTGCACTTACCTCTCTGGAGCCAATGCATTCAGCCAGGAAGCAAACCTGCCTCCACAGAGCTAGCCCACCAGCGCAGCCAAGCTGACAGCCTGGATCAAGATTACCACTGTATCTTTTCTGGCAGAGGGAGACAAACAAAATGCAAAAAGACAACACCTAAGACAATCCTGAAATAGCTTTTCTGCAACGTGATACATATTGATTTACTGGAACTTATCAGGAATTATGCAAGGTACTCCTCAAAATTGATGAGGGCTTTGCTACTAATGAATAACACAGCACAGGGATCATTTCAGTAAACTCTCTGTCCCCCCACCCCAAGCATGTCATCACAGCAGCAACGTGTCCTGTTACAGCAACTCAGTGGCTGCTGACTTCAGTGGGAACAGAACTAAGCCTATAATCACCATAAAACATCTCCCCGTTTTTTGGTTTGTAATATTAGTGAAAAGAGAGATAAAAGGACGACTGTCCTTCAAAAACTACTACTGGTATCCAATTCCACAACAAACTTCTAACGGTATTTATGATGTGCCTTTAAATTGCCTTGCAATACTGCACAGAGGAAGTATCAGTTTGGGGAATTGAGAAAATGTTCCTTTTCTACCTTGTAAATCGAGCTTAAATGCTCTATATGTCTAAGATGTGCTTTTTCATAGCTCACAAATCCATTTCAAACACCTGCATCTACACTGGTCATTTTCATGCTGATGTATTACCAAAATGTACTGTCAATTGAGGATTCTGGGTTAACAGAGCATAGCAGAACAGAAACTGTAGCTGCTAGTTTTAAAATCAAAATATTTTCCACTGAAACATTTTCACTTTGAGGATGTTGGTGCATAAAGACATTGTCTATTCACCTTGATGCTGTCTGCCAGGCTTCCTCTGGTGCCTCGCCTTCCACTGGCTCATCTCTGGCTTGGCTGAACGTGAAGTTTCCCTTGATGAAGAAACAAAACCAGCCCTTGTTTCCTTCCTTTTTCTTCCCCAGTCCTTAGCCGTTTTGCCTTCCTTCTCCATATTCTTAACTCCACTGTCCAAGCGAAACTTGGGCCAATTTCCATCAGCTCTGGAAGGTGGCTGCGGTCTGTCCCTTCCTGTCCGGTCCCACCAGCGATGCCTCCTCACCTGGGGACACCCCAGCCTGCCGTCCCCCTCTCTGCACCAGCCTCACCCTCCCTCCCACCCAGGCTCACACCTCTCCCCGCTTTGGTGATGGTTCCCCCGCCACCCCCGAAACCCTCCATGAGCTTTGCTCCCTCAGATCCCTCCCTCCACAGGCCGCCCATGGCAGCCCGCCATCATGGGCAGAGCTGGGTGGAAACGAGGGAGAGCTGTCCTGCCGTGCACCCACGGGCTGGCGACGAGGACCCACTTCTCCAGCGATTTCTTGGAGCAGCATCTCACCCCTAAACATTTGTCCGCCAAAAGGAGACGGCCTGGAGACCTCTCTGATCCATCCAGAAAACCCGTAGCTCTGCACCAAGCCCTGAGGGTGCAAGATGGCGGGAGGCCGCACCACCACAGGGGCTGAGCCCTCCCCGGGATGCTCCCCTCACCCGAGTCCCACCAGAGCCCCCGGCTCCCCGGGGATCTCATCACCTCTCCCTCAGCGGCCACCTCGGCACCTCCTGCCTCGTTAGCGGCACATAATTAGAACCAAGCGGTGAAGGAAACCAGGCGGGAAACCCAGAGTGGAGGTGTCACAGGTTTGAAGCTGCAGCCAGGGCGGTGCTGCCGCCCCCTCCCCCCAGCCCCGCTGGTGCCGGTTTAACCCTCTCTGCGCCGCTTCCCTCCCCCGGTAGCCTCGTTGCGCGGCTTTTCGCAAGATTACGGCGGGCGAGAAATGCGCGCGGCCGCGGATCCCCCCCCCCCCTCCATGCACGCTCCCGGCGGGGGTGGCGGGATGACATCATGAGAAAGTGCCGGCCGGGAGCCGCGTCCCCGGCAGCGGCGGGCGCCGCGGGGAGGGGAGGGCGGGAGGGGCGGGCAGGAAGGAAGCGCCGTCGGAAGCCCCCGGGGGGCGATGAGCGGCGGCACCGCGCAACCCGCCCTCGTGGAGCGCCGGGGGGGGGCGGGGAGGGCGCCGCGGCGCTGGGCGCGTTCGGCAGCGGGGCGGGAAGCGGCACGCCCGTTAAGCACGCTCCCCCGGGCGCGGGCACCCCCAGGCTCCGGTCCTGGGTGCTGGTGATGGGGGGAAGGTCGGTAACGCGGGGCAGGCCTGAGCGGGGTGAGCCCCCCTCCCGCTAAGCGGGCAGGTAGCGGCGGGCGCACCGCCCCCCCCCCGGCCCGGGCAGGTGCGGGGCCTCCCGGTGCGGCGGGCGGAGCAGAGGGGGCCGGCTCGGTGGCGGCGGCTCTTGACACATTTTTTTTTCTTTTTTTTTTCCTTTTTTTTTTTTTTTTTTTTTGACCAGTCCCCTTTGTCTCGGCGGGACCGGGATCTGCCCGATCCGCCTGGTAACAGCCCGGCGCCCCCATTGGCTCACGCTAATGGCCGCTTCCTGCGGCCGCGCCGCCCCGCGCCGCCCGCCGGGGGCTCCCCCGGGCCCGGGGCCAGCGCCGCGCCCCGCCGGCACCCTGCTTTTGTGAATGAAGCACCGGCCTCGTGCTGAAAAGAGGGGGGTCTAAAAAAAAAAAAAAACCAAAAAAACAACAAGCCCCCCTCACCAAGCCCACCCCAACCGGGAGGGCGAGGATGGCAGAGGTGTGGGTGCTGCGTGGGGCTGAGAGAGGGAATGGGTGCTCCTGGGCAGGGCCCAGTGATGCGGTGGGGAAAAATGTTTGGAGGCACGTTGCTGGCACAATCCAGGGGACTGGCTACCCCAAGGGCTTGCCCTGCACCCCCCAAACCAGCTGCTCCCTGGAAAGTTGTCGGGGTGAGAGAGATGCAGGGAAATCGATTAAATAGGATCCCCCATTTCTGCATCGCAGGCAGGCCGAATTCTGGTCTGGGAGTGCAGGGTCATGGCGTGTTTCTTCATTAAAAATTAAAACGTCCCTGGCCAACCGAAGTTGTGAAAACAGAAGTGCATGTCCTGCGTATGAAGCACAATAGGCAGGCGGAGGGACGCAGGCAGGGGACAGCTTCCTCCGCTGAGAAACCGTCCAGATTCGCCCCAAAGGCTGTGGCACACAAGGGGAACTGAGATCCCCGAGGCCTCCAACGTCCTCCTAACAGAAGAACACAAAATGGAGACAGACGGTCAAGCGAACGGGTAAACTAGGAAAGATGGGCAGATGTATCATGCAAAGAGATTACGTAAACACTCAACTGTGCAACAACATGTCCTGTGATCTTTGGCACTGCTTTCCCCGCAGGTCATGCAGGAGAGATGCTCTGTGACTCCATGGCATGTCCTCCACGGCCAGGAGACCCTTCTGCTGCCCCGATGCCTGCCCGCGACGGTACCGCGAGTGCTGTGCCTCTGGTAGGTATTCCTGCTCTCCGTGCTGCACCCAGGCGATGCTAAAGCACCGAGGTTCATCCGAATGCTCAGGTTTTGAGGGGCAGGCAGGCAGAAGGCAGCGTGAACCCCAGTTTATGGCCTTCCCACTTCTCCCCACTCCACTTTTGTGCAGGACATGCCGTTTCTCCCATGCAGTGGTGCATTGGCTGCACCTCCGGTATTCTCCAGCGGGCCCCAAGCCCCCCAATCAGCCCCTCGAAAAGTTGAAAAAAGACTTTTTTTTTTTTTTTAATTAGAAACAAAGCAAAGCGAAGTGTTTTCAGGTACAAGCAGCTCAGCCGAGGAATGGGAGTTATTTACAGAGGGGCCCCACGGTTGCATGTCACGCGTGGACAGGCTGTCCTGGCAGCGTGGCGTGTCGGATGAGGCCCCGGCAGGCTCCGGTGGCTGCCGGCACCTCCCTCCTCCCCAACCCCCCCCCCCCAGTTCATCTCCCCGTAGGTGCTGGAGGAAGCTCTGGCCACCATTTTGCTGCTCTGCTGGGATATTTTTTCTGGGTGGTTGTGAGCTGTGGGGGTGGGGTGCCGAGTGCGGCCTGCCCGGCGTGCACCGCCGCCGACTGCAGCTCGGATTAGCTATTGCCTTGTCCCCTGCCACCTCTGTGCCCCTTTTGGAGGGTAAAACCTTCAAAGTGAAAGGAAAGACTTTAAAAAAAAAAAAAAAAAAAAAAAAAAAAAAAAAGCACCATCTTGGCACAGGGCAGGGAGACCCCAATTCCTTTAAAATTCCAGCGTGCAGCGAAACCATCTAGGCTGGGAAAAAATAGCACTGAGGAAATGGGAGAAAACTCTTCCCTTGGGATCAACTACAAAGACTGGGAGTTCAGGTTGGGAGAGCGTCTTTTTACACCACAGATAGCGCAGGTATGCATCAGTGACGGCAATAATAATAATTGATAACGAACAGTGATGCACTGGTGCTGCCCTGCTCCCCCTCCGCGGCGGCCCCAGTAAAATAATCCCAACCGAGTCTTCTTGTATTTATATCCCTGCGTGTCTGTGTGTGGCCTAGCCCCATTCATCATTTGGCTCCCACTGCAGAACTCGCTCCATTTTTAAAATTATGCATGATACACTGAAGAGACAATTTGGGTTTCCCCCACCTCTCCCTTGCCCTTGAAGAAAGCAAGCCCTTGTCTCATTTGCATTTGCATTAAAACCCTGCTCTCTATAAGCTAAGCAAAGGGGAAGGACTTGAAGCCTATGGGATGGCTTTAGGGCTCTGCCCCTTGCTTTTGGTTCTGTCTCTCTCTCTTTCTCATTCTCTCTCGTGCTTTGATCTCTGCTTAACAACAGTAACGTCACAGGGACTATACAGGAGAGTTTTGTTGGAAGTTAGAAAGTTTTGCAGCCTCCAGAGGGCTGTAGCAGCAGTAGCAGAAGCAGCAGAAGCAGCATCCAAGGGACTCCTGGAAGGGGAAGAGAGAGAGCGAGCGAGCGACTGACTCAGTCCTGCTGCAGAAAACTGCTTCGAGACGACGGAGGCAGACATGGAACATCAGCTGCTGTGCTGCGAGGTGGAGACCATCCGACGAGCCTACCTAGATGCCAACCTCCTCAATGACAGGGTGCTGCAGACAATGCTGAAGGCGGAGGAGACCTGCTCGCCCTCCGTCTCCTACTTCAAGTGCGTGCAGAAAGAAATCTTGCCATATATGAGGAAAATAGTTGCCACTTGGATGTTGGAGGTTTGTATCATGCGGGGATTTTCTTTTGCAAGCTTTCGCACCGCAATGAGTTTCGCCGAAGAGCTGCTCCCCCCGCGCCATCTCCTGCCGCTCCCGCCCCCCCCCCCGAAATAAGTTCCACGGCGCGGCACACGTTGCTGTGGCCTCGGAGGCTCCCGCGTGGAAACGGGGCGTGGGGGGGGGGTGGGGGGAGAAATGCGGAGCGGGGTTCCGATCGCCGCCGCCGCGGTTGCCGCTTCTTTCTCGCCGCTGCAGCGGTCGGGGCCCGCGGCGGAGGGGTGGCGGATTCTCCCCCCCCCCCCAAACCCCCGTTTCCCCTCCCCTCTCCCGGTGCCCCGGCACCTTTTCCGGCCGTCGGGGCGAGGCGGGACCGGCGGAGGGGAGCGCGGGGCCGAACCGCCCGGCCGTTCCCCCCGGCTGCCGAGCCCCCGGCCGCGCCGTGCGGGCCCGCCGGGAAACCCCGCCAGTTAATTTTTTTGAAGGATTTTATTTTAAATTAATATCCTTGTACACGTATGCAAGTAGCTGCCCGTGCCAGTATTCTGCGCCATCTTTGTTCTTTTATTTGCAAAGCAAAAGTGTTTATTAATGGGGAGAAAAATTAAGAAAGTCCCGGGGAACAAGCCAAGGGTGTGTGTTGCGGGGGGGAGCGGGGGAAGGGGGCCGGGGGAAGAAGGTCGGGGGCCCGGGGACCCCGCTGGGGCTGCGGGCAGGGGGACCGGCCGGAGGGGCTCCGGCATTTCTTGGGGGAGTTGCAGGGTGAAAGTTTCTTTGTTCGGCGCGAAGAGAGGCTGGAGCTGTGGTCACCCCTCAAAGGCACGCTTGTGCTGCGGCGGCGATCGGCGAGGTCGCCTGAGAAAAGCGAGTTGGAAAGGGCCTCGTCCCCTAGCGGGACACGTTTGGGGGGGCTCCCAGCGGGACCCCCAGGAGCTGGGCTACATTTTCATGCTTTTTCGGAAGCCCTGGGCGCCGGCGATCTATTTTTAATTAATTTTTGAAAGCGCAGCGCCCTGACTTGCTCTGGGAAATGTCGCGCCCGGCTGTGCTGCAGGGCGAGAGAGGGAGGCGGCGAATTTCACTTCGGGGGGCCTCCCCCGAGCCCCCCAGCAGGACCATGGGCACGGGGCTCGGTAAAGGACCCCCACCGCTTCATTTTCAACCTTTTTTCAGAGCTCAAAGAATTTTTTAAATATTTTTAAATATTTTTTGAAAAGATGACGTCTGGGGAAATGAGGCTGGACGCCACCTTTGTGTCTCGACCAGAGAAGGGGAATCGGCGGCAGAACGGCGAATTAGATGAAAAAATAAAAGCGAAATAAATCAATCCGGGGGCAAGCCCGGCTCTGCATCCCATTCCCAGGCACGGGGGCTCGCATTTTGATCCGTTTTCCTTTTTCTTCCCTTTTTAAAAATTTGTTCTAGGGGATGGAAAGATGGGGACAGACCTCCTCTTCGATTCCCTCCCCCCCCCCCCCTCCTTTTTTACCATGAATCGCCTACGGATTTCTAACGCCACATTTCTCCCCACTTTGTCACTCGTGATTTTCATATTCTTTGATGCCTCAGTTTTTCCCTTGTTTATCCGTTTTCCCCAACTGCATTTTCCCCCTTCGTCTCCTTCAACCTTGCCCTGCAAATGCAAAGCCTGGGGGGTGAGGGGGGCAGGGAAGACGAGGCCAGCGGGACAAGTCTAGATTTTGCCTATATTAAATTATTCTTCAACGATCTCTCTCCTTCTTCCAGGTTTGCGAGGAGCAGAAGTGCGAAGAGGAAGTTTTCCCCTTGGCTATGAATTATTTGGACAGATTTTTGTCGTTTGAACCCCTCAAGAAAAGCCGATTGCAATTGCTTGGAGCTACCTGCATGTTTGTGGCTTCAAAAATGAAGGAAACGATTCCTCTGACCGCAGAAAAACTGTGCATTTATACAGATAACTCCATTAGACCCGACGAATTACTGGTAATTTCACGTTTAATCACCTCAGGAGGAAAAAAAAAAAAAACCAAAACAAAACAAAAAAAAACACAAAAAAAATCATAACAAAACAAACCCCAAACTAAAAATGCGGCTTGGGGAAGCACCCCAACATTGGGGCAGGCGGGGAGGGGGCTGCCTGCCCTGCAGCAGGGTGCCGGCGGCGGGTGCTGGAGCTGCACCCGGGGCCGCTGGAGCTGGAGCCCCGCTGGGAGCGGAGCGGGGCCGCTGGAGCCCCGCTGGGAGCGGAGCGGGGCCGCTGGAGCCCCGCTGGGAGCGGAGCGGGGCCGCTGGAGCCCCGCTGGGAGCGGAGCGGGGCCGGGGCTGGACGCGGCCCTCCCGGCCCGGAGCGCAGCGGCCCCCGCGGCCTGGCTCGGCCGGACCCCGGCGCGGCGCGGGCGCCCCCTGGCGGCCCCGCGGGGGGGCTGCGGCGGCCACTTCCCGGCGGGGGGCGGCCCGGACACCCCCACCCCCCCACCCCCCCCAAACCCCATCAACTGCGGCGGGAGCACGGCCTGACACCCCGCTTCCACCCCCCCCAACCCGCGGTGTGAGCACCGGCTGATCCCACCCCAACCCGCGGTGGGAGCACCGGCTGACACAGCAACCCCCCCCCCCCCCAAGGTGGGGAGCAGGGGCTCACCCCAGCTGCGGATAGTGCTCGTCCGACCGCGTGGGAGCAGAGCTAACCACATTGTCCCTCTTCTCCTTCCTCTTCTCTTCTTCCCCCTTCCCTCCCTCTTGTTTTTGCAGCAAATGGAGCTGCTGCTGGTGAATAAGCTGAAATGGAATCTGGCTGCAATGACCCCCCACGATTTCATTGAACATTTCCTTACTAAAATGCCTCTGGCAGAGGACACCAAGCAGATCATCCGTAAACATGCTCAGACTTTTGTGGCTCTGTGCGCTACAGGTATGAGCCCTGCACGTTAAGCAAAGCGTGTTGCTCCCCAACACGCACCTACCCCCTGGCTTGTAAAGCTTCCCGTAGCTGTGGTCTAAAGCGAGCTCACAGAGCTGTGGGGAGGTAGTTTAAGCCCTGATTATTGCCCCTTGTTTGCAGAAGGTGGATTACGTTGCAGAGGTAAGTGTTCTCAGGAGGTATTTTGCTTCTGAGTTGAGTACGTGGTGTCGTCAGGGAGGGAGAAGTACCCTCCTCTTTGTAGCTTAGCCGTGGAGTCGCAGCTCAGCGTGACACGATTTCTTCACCTCCGTACACCCGGTTTTATGTGGGGGCTGTAAAAGGCTTACTGCCCGTACGGGGAATCCCTCCCCATGTGGATTCATTCTTAAGACAGTTTTTAAAGGCGGAGGGAGATTGTGCTTGTGAATAGCTCTGCGTGGGGGTTTTAAAACTTCCCTCTTCAAGTTGCCTCTTCCCCCCCTCCTCGGTGGCTGGTGGATTGGAGGAGGGCCACGCGGCACGGAGGCTTTGCTGGCACAGGACCGAGCCGCTGCCATCTGCACCCCTCCGACCACGTGCTGCGCTGAAGCCATGTGCAGGGCCGGCCTCCAAAGACTCCGACTGTTGGCTAGGCCAGGTTTGCAGAGGCCTGATCTTTGGTTTCAAGGGCACCGTGCGTGCGCGCGCGCTGGTTCTTTGATGTTCCGTGTTTGCGTGTGGACTGTGTGTGTATGCGTTTGTACATGTGCCGGCTTTACCTGCTGAACCCTAGCAAGTGGGAAGGAGAAAAAGTTGTAGAAGAGTCTTTCTGTTCTTCAGATCTCACTGCTCCCACAGGACAGAGTGGAGGAGCAGGGACAAAAGAAGTTCTAGAGGGAAGATACTCTGTTTAAACAAAACGTGTTCAGCGCGTTTTCTTTTGTATGGCGAGACCAATCCAGGAATGGCAAACGAATAAGGAAGAAAAAGCAGCCAAAGCAAATGTTCTTCTGCAGTAGCATGTAAAAAGGAATGCCAGATACTCTGTTCACACTGATAAAACTTAGTGTAAAGGCGATACAGTGCTTTAGGAAATGCTAATATTCAGTAGCAGTTGTGCTAAAAAAGGAGATCAAGCCTGCATTTGGACTTGAGAAGAGGTATCCACACTCGAAAACCTCGGTGGGATGTGTGTGGTCAGTGGCACAAATTAATGTTGTGTAGTTTATTTCCCAGAGATGGATTTGGTATCACAAGATTGAAGGAAGATTGCAGGCACTCAGAAGAAAAATTATATTTCACAGAATCGCCCCTACTGCAAGGCCTAAAGATAGAATGACCAAACCATAAAAGAGAAATTTATAAAAGCTGGCATTGCTCTTCATCTTGGGCCTAACATCAGCATAATGGGCAGTTGGTAAGTTAGCTTGCCTGGAATAATGCTTGGTGTTCAGAGCGCTACAGCCTTCAAACTACCTGCAGCAACATTTTGGGAAAATCAGGTGTAACTCTCCGTGTGAGATTCTACCAGATAAAGCTGCTGCAACTCCGAATGTGTGATTTGCAAAGTTTGAAGCTTCCTCCACTGTTAGCTAAAAAGAACAGCTACCTGGCCTCCCCTTTGAATGTGGGGATGTTTAACCTAGGTTGTTGTGTTGGCAATGACAGGGATGAAAACAAGAGTAGTTCAAAGGTTGGAGACTTGCTAAGAGTCCAGTACTTTGATCCACTGTGGGTGTTGTTATGTTTCTTTTAGGAAGCACATCCAGAGCCTTTATTTAACACTGCTAGGCACCACAGCTGGAGAATGGATCAGTAAATGAGAACCATGTTCTGGGAGTTTTACGTAGCTTTTAAAAAAGCAGTGCTGAGCTCACCAGAATTGGGGCCCTCTTCAGCTCCCTACTGAAGTTGGGACTATTGCCTGGGGAGAGAGCGCTCAGGAAGGCTGCCACTAGGCTCTGTATTTTTATTGTTATTTTTGGATGTCAGGATTTTCTCTACCTCTTGCTTTCCTTATGACTTCTTTGTTGGCTAGTGAAGATCACATGTGGCTTAAGTAGCATCTGGACTTTGCTTTGCTGTTGCTGGGTTGTGTTGTATTTCCCCTTGCCAAAATGAATCTAGATGGACTGCAAATGCGTTGTGCTGCTTGGATGCTGTGGGGCCTAATCCAAAGTCCACTGGAAATACTGACACTCGCTTAAGTGGCCTCAGGGGCAAGTGCAGTATATCCTCTGCTTGATGTACAGCCTGTGTCCTCTACTCTAAGGGAAGGTCTCCTAAGAAGAGATGGCGAAATGATGCTTGCTTAGAAAATAAAGTCTCCGCCAGTTGGCTTAACAAGGTGAAGGCTGTGGAAGTGTTTGTAGATGAGTGTGTATGTGTTTGCTCCAGAAAGAGAAGGTTACACTGCAAGGTGAAGTTGAGGGGAATTCCTTCTAAGCTCCCTCTTCGGTTGTCTGGCTAGTAGCAGTGGATTTGTTTGATTTGGTTCAGTTTTGAAAAATCCATTTTCACCAAAGGATGTCTTTGTGCTGTGGTAGGTTTGGGAGAAAAAGCAAAAAAAAAAAAAATTACCAGGGGTTGTTTGAAGTTAACACATAATTGAGCTTAATGAATGGGGCTTTGGCATGGCCGAGCAAGGCAGGGAGAGCTCAAAAGGAAGCAGGCCTCTTTTGGCCCAAGTTAAGACCAGTGTTGAGGGAGAGCTGCAGCTCTATACAAGCATAACAATGAATAGCAACAAATATTGGAGCTTCAGCATTTCATTATGTTCCTCTGGTTATCAAAACATACCAGGCTCCTTTTATATTATTATTATTGCTATTATTATTGTTGTTGCTTTCCTCCTCTCGGATGGAGAAAGAAAGATCCCGCTTTGAAACAAGCGTGTTACAATTCTCCTATTCTCTGGCCTTTATAAAATTGGAAGTCTCAAGGTATGTGACCAGTTGGAACCTGTTGCATCTTGCAGCAAGTGATTTATGTTCGCAGTTTTGATTTGCCTCAATGAAAAGATTTTCATTCATAGCCCCCAGCTCTCCAGACGGATGGAATTGCTGCTCCATTTAAAAAGGAAAAGGGGTGACTCGCCTTGTTAGGAATTTTTTTTAAAGCGCTGCAGCGCCTATATGCCTGCTTTGTCCTCCCTTCAGGGTGGCTGGCATTCTTCTCTCTCCTCCCCCTCCTCTCTCTCTCTCTCTCTCTCTTTTTAACAACGCTGAAGTTGTTTATTCTTTTTGGATGAAGTCTCAGATAGGCTACTGGGGATGTGTGCTTCAATTGATGGGGCCCCCTACCCCATTGTGGCTGTGTCAGGTCTAATTCATCTCACCGAAGCCCCCTTGTTCCTGAGCGCTCAATAGCGCAAGATGAGGCGATGGAGGCTGACAATGATGCCACACTCTTCACTTGGGGGCATCCAATTACAGGCGAGAGGGGCCCCCTGATTAATATGCTGAAATTAGTGGCCTCTGCCACAAATAATTCCTTGTTGAGTTGCAACAAAAAGGCAGTCCATGCTGCTTGTCTGGAGTGGTTATAGGGACAGACACAAACTGGTCATTTAAACTTCATTATCACTTTTCCACCTTGGAAAGAATGAGGGTGTGACTATGAATTCCTGTTCTTGTTTACTGCTCCATTTAAAAGAAGAATGCAAATATTAATCCAAAACGTGATTCTATCAGGACAGACTCATTAAACTGACACATTTTGGTCATGTTCTGTTTGTGGAGCTTGGTAAATAGTGGCGTAAACACACTGCCCACTGTACCCCTCTGAGCAACCCAATCTTGGTGGAATTCATGCTTGCCTACTGAAATCCCTCATTTCTGAAGTCCACCTGGGTATCAGTATTTCAGTTAGGGGACTGGCTTTGGAATGTGAATAGTGTCATTAAGCGGTCTGGACAACTTTGATTTTGGGGGCTGACACAAGCTTGCTAGAGGGTTGGTGTATTTATATCTGCTTGGAAATGGGCGGATTAGGAAAAGGGGGTAAACTAAATTTTTTTTAAAGCACGGTAACATACATGAGATGACTTCAGATCACGTGCGCCTTTTCTCTGGCAGTGCATCACAAAAGTTGGGCCACAATTCATTGTAGCAGTTTAATTTCGAAGGTTCACAGAATGCTGGGCAAAATGCCCCTTTGAAGGTGGGTATTGGTCAGGGCTACAATGGAGTGTCAGAGGTATATGAATAGATTCAGAGAGAGGACTTTCATAGAGTCCCAAAGTCTTTAGTTTCACTGGTAAAACATTTACACAAAAGTTATTTTATCATAATAAAGGAGATGCATGATTTAATACTTAAACTGTTCCACTGAGCCCTCTAAGCTGTCCATTCCTTTGATTTCATTCAAGGGTTTGACAGATGGTTTATATTTTTTCAGCCCAGAGGAAGTTGTATTCTGATAAAAGCTGAAGGAATGTATCTCAGGTTCTTGTGTATAATGTGGCATTTCCCTTTCTTCCTCACAAAATTAGACGTTTACTTGTGCCACTTACTTCCTTTGTTTCTGATTCTCCTCCAAGGTGTACACTGCCACGGATCAAACGCATTCCTGTTCAGCAGAAAGTCTTGGCATGAAAATGTGGATTATTCTTATTAAAAAAAAAAAAAAAAACAACAAAACAAACAAAAAACAAACCAAAAACATCCTAAATGGCAGAGATAGCCCCTTAAGGAATCATGGGAGTGGCTTTGTGGAGAGACCTACAGCAATGCAGTCTGGAAGGGGGCCCAGCCTCTTGTCAGCATGGTGTCACATCAGAATGTAACTGATTGTCCGCCAATTCTTGGGACCCCCGTCACTTAGTTATGCCACATTTACATTAAGTCCCTGTTGCCAGGATGGATGGCAGCCACTGACAAGAGACTAGGTTGAGACAAAGCATTTTTAAGATGAAACCTTAATTTAAATATGGATTATCTGCTTCCTGACAGGGTTAAGCAGTCCTCTTTTTCTTTTTGTTGATGTTCATTAAAGCTATATTCCTTTGAATGTCAGTGCAAAGGTTTCTGCTTTAAAGGCCTGGGGACTCCTTGTTAGAGTGCACCTAGGATCTGATCATGTGAAACACCTAGGAATGTGAACAGGTTTTCTCAGATGTATAGTGCCACTGACACCAGTGGCATTATTCACTTTATTATTTTTCACAGTGGCAAGTATTTTAACATTTGAAGAATGGGGGCCCTGCTTATGATAAAAATACCTCAAAGTGATGAATGGCCTCCCAGGCTTAATGCTAGGAAGGGCTACTCACTGAAGTACAGTTGTTTGTGTGGATAAGTGTTTACAGGTTTGGACCTGTAGCAGTTTAGAGCAGGAGGCACCTTTCTGCTCACAATTTTCCCTGCCTTTTCAGATGCAATAGTTGGCAGCTGAAGCCATGCTGGTAGAATAGTGTATGTGTATGGGCAGGCTTCTCCTAAAGCAATCATTTCAGTCTTTTTTTTTTTTTCTCTCTCTTCTTTCTTCATACAGATATTAAATTTATTTCAAACCCACCTTCCATGATCGCAGCTGGCAGTGTGGTAGCAGCTGTGCAAGGCCTGCATCTGGGGAACACTAACACTTTCCTCTCCTATCAATGCCTCACACATTTCCTATCACAAGTTATCAAATGTGATCCGGTAAGTGACTCTTTCTCTCGGTTGATCTCCTGCCTTAGAGTTTAAGAATGAATGCCTGCTTACTGCATAGTAGTTAATCTGACAGTACATCTTGATAAAAGTCAAACCTCAGAGTGGGTTTTTGAACGTGTTCTCTTGTGTCTGTCCCAGTTATTTAGCTGTCGTTACATCCATTAATAATCTGTGATTACGCTGCTGCAGTTCACTGATAGGAATGCCACATCCAGCTCTAATGTTTGTAAGAGAGGCGTAACTGACAAAGCAAAGGAAACTCATTGATTTAGGACGTAGCAGAGGTTGTGTTTGGTTGTAGGTATTTAAAGCAGGAGTCTGTGTAAAACAAAACTTTGAAAATAAGACCAGGAAACAGTTACTGAGACCTTGTGGTATCTCTGACCTTATCTTTGACCATTCCCGAGGCCTTTTACTGTGCCAAGTGGTGTGAAAAAGCCCTTCTTAAAAGAGTTCTAATGATCTAATTTGGTTTATTACGTGCTAGATCTGCACAGTAGCTGGTATTGAATTCCTTTTCGGAACAAATGCTTGTCCCACGACTTTCTGACAAGGTAGATGGTCCTCACAGGACTCTCACTTTGCCCTGCAGCTTCCAGGAGATGCACATCAGTAACTAGTGAGCAATAAACCTTTCATGAGTGAATGGGCCAGGAAGGGAGCCTACAAGGAAGACCTAAAGTCAATGATCCATGTCATAATGGTGTGTGAAGTTGGGGCAGAGTTGAGCTTTGTTTTGTAACAATGTGGAAGACCAATAAATAGATGCTTTAAAAAGGTTCTTGTGAGGTCTCCAAGCCCTGGACAATGAGTCAAATAAAGACAACTCTGTGGTTAGTGGCAGAATCTTTGAGATGCTGTTAAATTATTTTACATGTTGATAATTTAAATACATAGAGGACTGTACTAGTCCAGACACTGCAAAATTAGGCTCTTATAATTGGACTTTGTTGACAGGATTGAGTGATTTCTGGAAAGATGAATGCATCGTAATTAATTATTCACAAAAGAATATTTTACTTTTGATAGACTGTGTTGAACAATTGTTGACAAATATGATACCTTGGTTTATTATTTTGATCACTTTGACAACACCTCAGTATCGAGCACATTATTTTTGTCATATATATTACTGCAGCTAAAGTAATATGCATCCAGTGCTGAAGTGTTAAATACTGTAAGAACTTCAAATGCTGAAATAAAATGCTGCTTAGTTTGGTATGTATGTGTAATGCTTTTAGTCAGTTTGTAAACAATGTAGATATTTCAGTGTGGTTGGCCACTATCCAGTGCAAGGTATCTGAAGCAGGTACTGAGGAAAAATACTAGGCTCGCTATCTGTTCTGACAGTATCTGATTCAAACATTATTTAATCATTCCTGATACAGAGCACTGAAGTAGATTCTCTCACATCTTTGAGAACAACAGCATGTCTGTATGTGCCTTGACTTAGTTGATGACAGAGCTCTTTTAAAAGAAAATGGGTTTAGCAAGGAGAATTCTTGTTTCTTTTTTATTGTCCAGAGTCACTGCAAGGCCACGATCTGTATGACCTGAACTTAAAGTTAACAGCTTTAAAAGGAGTATCTCTCCTCCCACTTTCATTGCTAAATGTATTTATGTGTTAGAGCAGCTAGAGTTAGAAGTAAGGATTTGGTATAGGTTGTTACAGAAAATGAGCATCATAAAGTTGTATGTATGTATATGTATCCTGTTGTGTTTGTAATGGAATAGGGGAACAGCATCTTTCACTGCTATTGCTTTGAGTAGAGAAAACTGCTTGGTCTCGTACATACCTGATTCCCCTTCACAGGGAATTTCCCGTAAAATGTGCCTATGTAATCCATGGTATCAAATGCTATTCCTGTTATCTTACATGAAGTTTGTTACTCCACAGTGATGGTTCCCCCTGTCAGACCACACAAATGAATACACTTTATATTGGATTGTCTTGAAATATTAAGAGCGTGCATTATAACAGGGCTAACATTCTCCCTGATTATCTATTAGCTAGAGCAGCTGGTCTGTTGGATTTCAGGTTATATAATTACACTTTTTTACCTTTAGTCTCAAAGAAAGCTGAATCTAAAGTAAAATGAGTATCACCTGATTGGAATTCCTTTATGGTTCATGTTTACGTTGGTAGGAGTCCAATTTCCCATTTTGCCTTTGATCAGGGGTAATTAGAAGTCAGATAATCACAATTAGAAGTCTTGGGCTGTCTTCCATCATTCTATTCTTGACCCCATCATCCAAACAGATGGAATTTTACCTGACATTCATTTCCAGGCCAGAAATTTGCTAAACTAGATTAGATTGGGTTTCCATGCTGTCTGTTCGTACATTGGAATTCGTCTCCTGCCTGCCCCTACTCAGAGGCACCTTCAGACATATGCTTGTTATCCAGAACGGGTCAGGCAGTAACAAAGGATTTCCAAGCAATTTCTTTTTTGTTGTTGTTTCCTTTAGTATCTGACCCTGGAGTCTGATCATGTCTACTGTGTGTGTTAAAGGTATTTGACCACATCAGTTAAGCTAGCAAGTTTTTTTTTTTTTTTTTCACTGAGGAGTTTAATTAATCCAGGAAGGGTTTATGACCTTGAACAAACTGTGGGCATTGAAAATTTGGGTAGTGAAGCAGAAAAGTTGTTGGGAGAAGTTATCAGAGTAATGCACAAGTTTTGTATTTGCTGTTCAGTGTTGAGAAGTACTGAGAGTGAAAAAAGCTTTGATGAGGTTGTTCACAGGGAATTTTATGTTTTGCAGTTATTTTTGCTAGCTCTAATACATTCCTGCAGAGAAACTAGTCATCTAATAGTAATTTGAATAAGAAATTAACAGAAATGCCTAAAACATTAAAAAAATACTGTTCATTTAACTGCAGCTTAAGACATAGTCTGTTCATGACAAATTGTAAAGATTATGTTTTAAAAAAATAGTTACAACATACTGTACTCTGAGAATCTCACAGGGGAAAAAAGTCTGTGGTCAAAAATTATCTTTAAATTACATAGTTCTATGTAATTATTCATGACTGGACTCCAGAGGGAGAAGAATAGGTATTTATAGAAATTCTTTTGAATGGTTTGAGTTTTCAGAGCTCAAACACACTCTATGCAAATGGTTAGGATTAAAAAAAAATAAATAAAACCAACACCTAAACACAAAAGCCCCACCAAAACCAACCAAACAATCCACCCTCCCCAAGCCCTGCCAGAAAGCTGACTGGGTTCATTTTGCTCTGAAAATAAATTGGCTTTCAGTTTAGAATACTGAACATGCCACCTTGTTAAAACAGAATTACCCTTAAAAGTGCCTGGGTTTGTAAAACCAAAAATACCTAGGCCTGTATTCATGTACTGCTCTTTAATACATCTGGTTCCAAGGGTGACTGAGGTACATGGTACAGGGCAAGCAAGTAGAATCCTTAGTCAGGATTGATCTGTCATATCTCGAGAAGAGGTGAAAGGACTTCATAGAGATCTTACTGTGAAGGCCAGGGGTATGTAGGAGCCAACGGCATGATGACTTTAGGATATGAGGCGTTTCTTTTTGTCATTTAAAACGCTGTGTGTCTCTGTCAAGAGGAAATATTACACTAGGGTTTAAACCAGAAAAGGTCATAGGTTATGTGTTTTCAGTGAGCTGTAACTGATGGTCTGATCTGCTTAGAGGTAGGATTAACCTCCCTCTCTCTCAGAAAGGACTTGCAGAGAATTGTTTGCTTGGGTTTCTAATCTTATTTTACCCCAAATGCCATGTGCCCTTATTGGTGGCAGAGGAGATTCTTGTGGTAGTGGAATCAGTGAAAAGCTGGTAGATCACACAAGAAGCCTCTGAATGAAGGCAGAATTGAAACTGGGAAATAAAGAAAACAGCAGGCAGGTCACCCTCTCAGGAAAACAACATTCATTCTCAGTCATGCACATCCTAACACTTTTGACGGCAATTTATCATGGAAGACTGGGTTCACCGCAAGGGCTAACACATGTCATAGGTTAAATCAGAAAAGGCAATACTGAAAGGAAACTTCAAAGTCCTTAATACACAGAGTTAAATATGTTGGGGAAAAAGCTTACAATGTTTGTTATGAAGACAGGAGTAAACAGCACGCTGGAGGAATTTTGGCAAAATGTCCTGTGATTGTTTTGCCTATTTACGGTACCATTTCTGTGTCGTTGCAACGGACGTACGTGGCTCTGAAGAACACAACTATAACTAGCAGAAAGTTGGACAGGTTGAGCTAAGAGGTCTTCCCCAATTCGAATTGCTGTGAATTGATCAGTAAAATTGGATATATCTAGTCATGATGTGGTTTAATGCCTGGGGGAAGTTACCTTTCCCAACCATAGACATAATCGTAACTCGGTGCTTTACGCATTTGGTTCACACCAAAGTCTGTGCAAGTGGCTAGACCCCTGCATCCTCTTGAACGCTCAGTAGGATTCTGTGTGCATTCAGCTATGAGAAAATGCTTTTGAAGCAAGGGAATGAGATCTCACCCTGACTGAGAGTTCAAGGTGAATGCAGTAGCAAACTAAAAGCTTGGCAGCACCTTGTAATGCATGGTTATGAAGGTGTTTAGTGGTGCTTCTGAAAGTTCTCTCCATTTTGGGGTCATACAGTGTGGTACATTTTTCTGTTCAGATGCCTTCTGAGTTAGAAATCAGTTATCTAACTTGAGCTGCACACTGCTGGACATAGCAGCAGTGCATATCTAAATATGTATATGGCACTTCTATCTAAGAACGTTGTATTATTGGAACTCAGCCTGGGAAAATCACTGTTTATGACCATCACTTCTAGTAGACTGTACTGCCGAAGTGTTTCTGTGGTAAAAATAGAAATCATGGACCAACTCAGACCCCAGCCCCATTTCACATCTTTGCACCTCCACTCATTTACTTATGACTGATTCACAGTGCTGTCCAGTCAGACTGTTCTATTATTTCAAAAGGTATAAAGTACAGTGAGGTAAGATAGCACGCATGTACTCTTACAGAACTGCTGTGTTAACAGCACAGGCAGAAAAGTAGTAGTATAAGCTACAACATCTTGTTGTGTCAAGGTCCTGCCCAGGTTAGCTACTACATGTGTCCAAATCGTAGTGGAGCATCCGTTGCATTCAGTTACAGACCTGTGGGCTGAGACGAGGAACAAAATGGCAGGCATGGTCTGTCCAGAGGACCATGTGTGGAGATGCTCACCTAGACCATTGAATAGAAGACTGTGAGAGTTAGTTGCTGAAGTCTGGATCTAGCATCTTGCAGAAAATGGGGTAGCTCATCCAATCCTTTCACTATTCGGTGTTTATCTTGCTCTTTTCAGTCTGCTGCCCTCCCAAATAACTTGATTATGTTTCTCGTGCTTTTTCAAGAAATGGTATTTGGTCTGTGATCTTACTGTTTTTCTAAAGGACTCTGGGTCTTTTTCTCCTTCCATTTCATCTTCTCTAGGATTGTTTACGAGCCTGCCAAGAACAGATTGAATCTCTCCTTGAATCCAGTCTACGTCAGGCACAGCAGCACAACGTATCTTCAGAAACAAAGACTGTAGAGGATGAAGCAGACCTTTCCTGCACACCTACTGATGTGCGAGATGTGAACATTTAAGAGGACTTCTTCTAATGGGTTTGCTTGGCAAGAAAAGCAAAGAAAGGGCATCTGAGAAGGAATCAGCATCAGGAGCTCCCCCCCAGAAACCCTTTTCTCCCGGACATTTTTATACCAGAAGGGAAAACCAGTCTTGTTATATTTTTTCTTGCTCTGTCTCCCTTCCATCTGTGACTTCAAACAAACAAATAAACAAAAAATACCCCAAAAACTGTCTTAAAAAAAAGAAAAAAATAGTATTTGCATTACCCCCAGGGGTTTGTGCTACAAAAATAGAGGATTTTATACAATAATAATCAACTAGTTTTTATATTAAAGTGTTCTTGTCTGTATGTTGTAAAAATAGGCATTAACACACGAAATGTCTCCAGGGGAGGTATTAGATTTGATTTCTTACATATAAAACAAACCAACCAACCATTTTTAAAGTAGAAGAGGGCTTTTTTTTTTGATAGTAAATGAATTATTCTTTTTTTTTCTTTAAAAAGCATAGCTTTAACGCAGTTCTAGGCTTTTCTGTATCTTGCTTGCTTATGCATTTAGTCACTTTATAATTCATCTGTAAATGTTTATTTTATTTCCTTAGGTTTTTTTTTTATCCTCTTCACCTTATAAATGGTTAACGTAACCCATAAGTTAGTGTATGTTAGTATGCAGCATTATTATATGTTAATCTTTTTTTGTGCCTGTGGATTGCCTGTGCATAAGGCATTTGTAGGGTTCCAGCCTAGCATTGTTGGGAAAGGCCAATGTACTACTCATACGATACTCTATTATAAAGAGAAACCGAAATAGTGACATAATATATTATATTTTTGTAATCTTCATATTTTTGTAGTTACCTGTGTAAAAATGCTGGTCTGACCCCACAGATACTCTGCCTAATTATGGTCAGGTTCAATCCACAGTTCAGTCTTTTTTTTTTTTTTTTTGTTTGTTTGTAATATTCTAAAACCATTCCATTCAAAGCACTTTCAGTCCATTAGATATAGGAAATACATTCTTTTATTGTGTGGGAATTTTTTTTTTTAATGGAATGGTTTGGAAATATATAAGTGCTTGTTCGCAAACTTGGAATTGCAAAGCAAGTGCATTTAACTATGGTGTTAGAGGAGAGGTGATTTTTTTTTTTCCGAAGGTTGTGTTCCAGTGAGAGAAATTGCATTCACAAATTGCCAGGATATCTTCCTATCCTTTTCTATAGAAAAGTTGAAGTTTAGAATCCTTTGGTGCCAACTCATCTTTGTAAATTAGGGGCCTTAAAGGTTCACATATAGGACACATAGTTTAAGGATTGTCGCTAGATGTTTTACAACTGAAGGTTTTTAAACACTAAAATATATAATTTATAGTTAAGGCTAAAAAGAATATTTATTGCAGAGGATGTTCGTAAGGCCAGTATGATTTGTAAAATAATGCAATCGCCCCTTTTTAAAAAAAATCTTCCTACCCTTGATGTTGCAGTTTTAACACAGCTTATTAAAGAAAAAAAGGACACGCTTCAAAGAACAAACCCAAAACAAAGCAGTCTATTTGGCCCCTTCCTGTACATTTTCAAAAGCAGTCTAAGCATGAAAAAAAAAACGCCATAGTTAATAGATATGAAAATTGGAGTACTTGAAAGAAGTTCTTATTCCAGTATATGCCCCATTTTTTTATTTAGCTACAACTAGAAAATTTGCACATCTTGGCTATGTATCTTTTTATTATTATTTTAGAAAGTAGCTGAAGGGACGTGGACATAGCTGTTGAAGTTGATGCTCGAGGAGAATGTGATGGTGAAACGTATGTGAGAAAACTGCCGCTAAGGTGTTGATTGTAAAAAAAAAAACAAAACAACAAAAAAATGAAAAAAAATTAAAAAAAAAAAAAAAAGAAAAAAAAGAGAAAAGAAAAGGAGTGGATGCTCCATTTTTATTGAGCTGCTATGGATAAATTCCCAGCATGGTTTGAAAAAAAAAAAATTAACATTGCTTTTCTGTATCTTTGTCATTGTGTTTTGCTGCTATTTTGTGGATCATTTTTTTTTTTGTTATACAATGTCATATACTGCCATGTTATAGGTTTTAATTTTCTCATAGAAAATTATATTATTGACATCATTTTTTTGTAGATTTTTTATGTGATCAATTTTTACTTAATGTGATTACTGCTCTATTCCAAAAAGGTTCCTGTTTCACAATACCTCATACTTCAGTTAACCGTGTCTAGACCAGGTTTTAATGTTCGTACACAGTGCCTCATAGTTCTACTGCAAACGGAAATGCATCGAACGTTATTCTGAATGGGTCTCGCGATTTGCAACTAGGTTGCATTAATTTAAAAACAGCAGACATTTCAGAAGATCAAGTAATGTCAGTTTTTTTGTTATGCATTTTATAAAGCTGGATTCTTTGTCTGATCTGGGGTTTATTATCATAGTAGTTTTTAAGCTGTGTTATTAGCCACATTGATATATGAAAGGTGCATTATAATATAACTTTTGTATGCCACCTGATGTGGTTTCCCATCATTTAGGACACATCATTTGGTATGATAGGTTATCTTCTGGAACTCTAAGTATTTTGTGTGTTTAATCTGTTATGATATACTAGGTTTTTTTTTTGTTTGTTTGTTTTTTAATTATAGCATAATGCTAATTTAAAAAGCCTGTAAATCTCATAAATAAGCCAGCTAACAGAGTTGTATGCTGAAGAATAATCTAGCTGTTGCCTGTATGCTGCTAAACCAAAACAGAATTAGATCTCATTTTGAGGCAAATGCAGTTAAAGATCCTACATAGTGCATAAATAAAGCATTGCAATGCTACTAGCAGTCGCAGGACCCAGGAGGACCGGATACATTCTGTCCAAATTTCAGGAACATTTCTTACTGCTTACCTCATAAAACACTTCTGTTCGTGGCATCTCTGTGTCTCTGAACCAAACATGATTATTGAGTTAGTGCTTGTTGGTTATATTATGTG